TTTTTTTTTTTTTTTCTGCGCCTGCTTATGCCACGGCCGAGCTGTCTAGGCCACACGGCCCACACCCGTGGTTGGGCCATGACCGAGATGTCTTGGCCACAGCCATGGCTGGGCCACGGCCGAGATGTCTAGGCCACACCCGTGGCCCGGCCATTGCCGAGATGTCTAGGCCATGAGATGTCTAGGCTGGGCCACGGCCGAGATGCCTAGGCCACACCCATGGGGAAACGAGCCAAAAACGGGAGGGCCTGCTACCAGTAACTCTGCTCCCAGGACAGGCCACGGAAAAAAGAGTGGTACCACTACCGCCACCTCCCGTTTTTGCCAATTATTGAACCGATAAGCTGTCGAACGCATGATTTACTGTTTTTCTTGCAGTTTCTAACTGGTCGTCGCCCAAGCTTGCAGTGGACTGTTGTTTCTGCTAATTCAGAACTGTGCAGCGGTCACAGGCGCAATTGTCTCAAAAAAAAAAAGGATACTGCATGCAAGGGCACAAACCTTCCGTCCCTGAGATGGTGTGGTTGTGGCACGGTAACCATCCGGAAATTGGCCAAGTTGTAGTTTGCGCAGCAGCGCATCGAATTGCTTGCGCCCCGCTTCGTCTTCAATTGCTGCACCAAAAGACCAGATGACTGCAAGGAGGAACATGGAGTCCACCACCATTGTCCATTGGCGATCCGAAAGGTCCTTCAAGTTGTGCTCCTCCTCTTCCAGTGTGAGGCTGGACAGCAGGCAAGACAGAAGAGAGAGGAGGGAGCTCACAAGATGCATGACTCCAATTGACAGGGAGCCGCTCCGCACTAGCCTCTCCGAGCCGCATATGCAAGGAGGCACTGTGAAATCGAAGGCCGGAGATATCAGGGCAAGGAGGCAGTACATCATCAGGGCAAAGTGCCAAGGGTTTGCTCAAAGGAGGACTCATAAATAGCATGCACAGAATGAGGCGACGACAGAGTGCCACATGCATTGTGGAACCATGAGAGTGAAGTGAGGGACGAGCGACAGATGAAGGAAAGTCTGGCAA